GCTTGTGCTGCATCCCTTAAGTTTTGATATGTTGTGTTTTCGTTTGTCTCAAGATGTGTTTTAATTTCTCTAATTTCTTCTTTAATCCATGTGTTATGGATTCTATGGAGAGTGTTGTTTAATTTCCATGTATTTGTGCATTTCTAGTCTCATCTTGTTTGATTTCCCAGTTTCATACCATTGTGGTCAGAAGATACTTGGCATGATTTCAGTCTTGAATCTTCTAAGACTTATTTTGTGGTCTAATACGTGGTCTGTCCTAGAAAATGTTTCATGCACATTTGAGAAGAATGTGTATTCTGCTGATGTCAGATAGGATGTTCTGTGTATGTCAGGTACATTTGGTCTATAGTGTTCAAATTTGCTGTTTCCTTATTGATTCTCTGTCTAGATAATCTATCCATTGTTGAGTGTGGGGTATTAAAGTCCCCCGCTATTAGGGTATAGCTGTTTATCCTTTTAGCTCTATTAGTTTTTGCTTTGTTTTTAAGTTTTCTGATGTTGGGCACAGAAATATTTACAGCTGTTACAACTTCTGGATGTATCAATGCTTTTTATCGTTATATAATGAACTTCTTTGTGTTTTTTGATTAAAGCTTATCGTCTAACTATTCCTGCCTTTTTGGGGTTATCAATTGCTTAAAATATTTATCCCTTCACTTTGTATCTTGAATGCTAAAGTGACCCTTGTAAGCAGCATATCATTGGATCTTTTTTTTTTTAAAATCCACATAGCCATTCTGTTTCTCACTTGGAGAATTGAATCTGTTTATATTTAATTATTCATGTGTTTCTACTAATTATTGATAAATAAGGACTTACTGCCACTTTGTTAATTGTTCTCTGATTGTTCTATGGATCCACTGTTCCTTCCTATCCTGCTTTATTGTGTTTTGATGTTGTATGGTATTATGTTCTTTTTTGTAATTACTACAGTTTTTTCCCTTGTGGTTACCATGAGGCTTACATAAAAAAAATTCTTAAAAATTAATAGCACCTTATTTTAAACTAATATCAACTTAACTTCAATAAAGTCCCAAGCTTGACACTTTTATTCCTCTTCTACTTCACATTTTCGGTTTTTGATGTTACAATTTACACTTTAATATTGTGTAACTAATAGATGATTACAGTTCTGCTTATTTTTACCATGTTTGTTTTTTAACTTTTAAACTAGAGCTGTAAATGAATCACATACCACCCTTACCATGTTACAGAATTCAACTTTGACTATATATTTCCAATTACCAGTGAGTTTTACACTGCCTTATGCTTTTATGATGTCAGTTATCATCCCTTTATGGTCATCCCTCAGTATCTGCAGGGCATTGGTTCCAGGACCTGCCACGGATACCAAAATCTGCGGATGCTCATCCTGTTGTCGGTCCTCTATCTGTAGGTTCCACATCTATGGATCCTCAGGCTGTACACACAGGACATGGTCCATGGTTGGTTGAATCTGCAGATGTGGAACCCGTGGATATGGAGGGCTGACTGTACTTCCACTCAAAGAACTTCTTTAATGTTTCTTGTAAAGCAGGTCTAGTGGTGATGAATTTTCTCAGCTTTTGTTTGGGAAAGTATCCTTCATTTCTTTTTCTGATGTACAGCATAATGTTTTAGTCATACATATATACATATATTCATCTTCACATTCCTTTTCATTATAGGTTACTACATTGAATATAGTTTTCTGTGCTATACAGTATAAACTTGTTGATTTCATTTGTAGTAGTCAGTATCTGCAAATCTTGACCTCCCAATTTATTCCTTCCCACCTTCTTTCCCCCCTGGCAACCATAAGTTTGTTTTGTATGTCTGTGAGTCTATTTCTCTTTTGTAAACAAGTTCATTTGTGTCAATTTTTTTAAAGTGATATCATGTGGTATTTGTCTTTCTCTGTCTGACTTACTTCACTTAGAATGACAATCTCCCAGTCCATCCACATTGCTGCAAATGGCATTATTTTATTCTTCTTTGTGGCTGAGCAGTATTCCATTGTATATATCACAGCTTCTTTAACCAGTCATCTGTCGCTGGACATTTAGGTTGCTTCCGTG